AAAGATGCCTTTTATGAGTGCTTGGCGACTTTAATGCCAAGGTGGGCAAAGAAGGTATCTTTGGCACTACGGTCGGTAATCTCAGCCTCCATTAGGAATCATCCCCAAGTGGGTTGAGGCAGATCGACTTCGCCGGGGCCCGAAATATGGTTATCTGTAGTACTACAATAGATTTCAGCAAAAGAAGAGACATCAAGCTACCTGGCTGTCTCCGGATCGAAGAACCATCAACCAGATCGATCATGTTGTGATAGACGGAAGACACGTCTCCAGTGTTTTAGATGTGCGTGCGCTCCGAGGTCCTAACATCGACTCGGAGCACTATCTTGTTGCAGCCAAAATTCGCACCCGTCTCTGTGCAGCAAAAAACGCAAGCCATCAAACACAATTAAGGTTCGACGTCGAGAAGCTGCAATCACAACAGACAGCCGAACGATTTTCCACTCGGCTTGCACTCCTGCTCTCTGAGAGCACTCGTCAACAACTCGGTATAAGAGAACTGTGGGACGATATTTCAAACTCCTTACATACAGCTGCAACCGAAACCATTGGTTTTCGGAAAGTGCAAAAGAACAGATGGAAAAAGAAAGAGGCCGAAATGCTTGAGTACGAAGAGCTTGATAAGCTGGCCGACAGGGGTAGTTCTCGAAAATTCTATGAAAAAATGCGGCGGCTTACAGAAGGTTTCAAGACCGGAGCATACTCTTATAGAACCCCCAAAGGGGGCCGATGGATTGCCGGCCGAGCTATTCAAACATGGCGGCGAAGAACTGATAAGGAGCATGCATCAGCTTCTTTGTAAAATATGGTCGGACGAAAGCATGCTTGGAATTTAAGTGTGCTATGCCCAAACCTCAARAAAGGAGACCCCACAATCTTCGCCAACTACCGTGGGATAAGCCTCCTCAACATTGCATGTAAGGTTCTATCGAGCGTATTGTGTGAAAGATTAAAGCCCACCATCAACAGCCTGATTGGACCTTATCAATGTGGCTTCGGACCTGAAAAATCAATAACCGACCAGATATTCACCATGCGCCAAATCTTGGAAAATACTCGTGAAAAGAGAATCGACACTCACCACCTCTTCGTGGATTTCAAAGCTGCTTTCGACAGCACGAAAAGGAGCTGCCTTTATGCCGGGGTATCTGAATTTGGTATCCCTGCAAAACTTATACGGCTGTGTAAGCTGACGTTGAGCAGCACGCTGTAGCTCCGTTAGAATCGGGAAGGACCGCTCCGAGCCGTTCGATACCAAACGAGGCTTCAGACAAGGCGATTCCTTATCGTGCGACTTTTTCAACCTGCTTCTGGAGAAAATAGAAATCCAACGCAGGATAACTCTTACCAACAGGTGCTACCTCGGACTGAGGAGGCAATTGAGAAACAAAGTCCTCTCTCGACGAACAAAAACCAAATTCTAAAAGTCACTCAGAATTCCCGTCCTGCTATATGGTGCAGAGGCTTGGACGATGTCAACAACGGATGAGTCGACGATGCGAGTTTTCGGGAGAAAAGTTTTGCGAAAGATTTATGATCCTTTGCGCGTTGGCCACGGCRAATATCGCATTCGAAAGAACGATGAGTTGTGTGAGATATATGAGGACATTGACATAGTTCAGCAAATTAAAAGGCAGCGGCTACGCTGGCTAGGTCATGTAGTCCGAATGGACGGAAACAGGGGAATAGGATGACCTCCATGCCGTTGGTTTGACCAGGGATAGAAGGACCTGACGTATTTATTTAATGAGTTATCATTGTTTTTAGCGGGGCTATCCATGTATTGGAAGACGTCACATAGTGCCGGCAGAAAGTCTCTGGAACTGGACTCGTT